AAAAACCTCCTCTTCGTCTGTATAAATTTAAACTGTTACCCGCAAGATCGGCCGTATTCCCTTCGCTCGCGACCCATCGTTCGTGCCCGTCGTTCTTGCATGTTAATCTTTGAAGATAGACCTATAGTGTTGCGGACATTTTCTTAGATCATTTAAAGAGAAATTATACTTTTATACACATTTTTTGGGTGTCTTGAACCGCTTTTTTGCAGGTTCCAATGGAACCGAACGGAAATAAAGATATTTCCCCCGTGTTGTTCACATTTCTCGCTGTTTCTTCGCTCCTATTAGTCACGGTGCAATGTTTTGTAGCCTTTCCTCGATAAATATTCTAACCAACACAAAAAAAAATCAATTCGACCCAGTAGTTCCTAAGATTAGCGCGTTCAAATAAACAAACAAACTCTTCAGCTTTGCATATTAATAGATAATAAACGTTTAACGTTCAAAAACTTGAACAACTTAATTCACGAGTTTTGTAATAATAATACATTTCAGAACTGGACGCTCGCTTTAACTGTAGGGTATCTAAGTTGGGCAAATTCGAATTTTGAATCCTCCGTTCCATTGTTAACAGCTCTCAGTAAAACCCACCAATGAAAAGAGAATTCAAAATAATTCACGGAATTATAACATCCATAGAGGTTGGTACGTGACAATCTCTGAAAAGCGGTCGAGGGGGTGGGGGCAAGGGGGAATCGTACTTAGGATTTATCGCGCACACGTGATTGTTGTGGTGATGGAAAAGGGTACGCTGTTGTAAAGCATATACAGTCTAGCTTGTTAGCATATACTAAATAGACAATTAGTTATAATCGTAATATACAAAAATATAGTAACCTTTTTATAGAAAATTATATAATAGTTGGTTTGGTCCTCTAGATCAGCGATCGATTTTATGATTTTTTTTTATTTCTTTGTTTTATTTTTTATAATTACATATATTTTTTTTGCAAATTGTAAATAATGTTTTCCTGAACATTTAATTAGTACGAACGTGATCGTGTCTGATGATCATGTCATTAAAAATTAAAATTTGGTTATAGCCGCTGCATAATAAAGTTCTAGATTTAGATCCCGCGAAAACAACACAATTTCGGGCCAGGCAGTACACAGAAATCTAATCTGACAATTTAAGTGTAAATAGATTCCCCCCACACTCTACATAGAAAAAAGATACTAGCATATGCAAAAAAAAAAAAAAAAAAAAAAAAAAAAAAAAAAAAAAAAAAAAAAAAAAAAAAAAAAAAAAAAAAAAAGGACCCGGAAGGCACGGGCGCAACCGCGGGCCGGGGGGGGCCACGGCAAAAAAACACAAAAAGAGGGACCAAGGAAAAAAAAAAAAAAAAAAAAAAAAAAAATAAAAAAAACTTTTTTAAAAAATTAAAAAAGTTTTTTTTAAAAGTGTACTACTCGCGTAAACTAAGACGTATTTACTATATATGCGTTTTTAACGTTCGTATGATAATTGCTTAATTTATATTTGTATTATTTGCCCTTTTGGATTTCAATTCATTTTTATTAATAGATTTTTTTATAATTTATGAATTATTTAATTTTTAATCTTAGCGGTAGGAAATTTATTGTCCTATCATAAATACTTAAATACACATATCTTTTACTTATATTTGAACCTAAGGGAATATTGTGCGAGCTCAAATAAATAAGGAATATATAAATATTATTCACGGTCTCTCAATAGTCGTAAGATAATTCGAGCGAGTATAAACGAACGCGATATAATCGTTGCATTACAGATAACACTTGACAAATCGTACGTGCATAAGTCGGCTTAGTACAGCACCGAGCTTTCATTCGAGCTTTCTTTCTGTCGTGAATAGCTTTTGTATTATGATTTCTCGTTTTAAAAGCTTTGTTTTTTCATTTCATTTAGATCCAAAATTTAGCAAGTCTTAATAAATTGGTGACTGTGAGGACGTAGAATTTGTTTGACATAAAAAAATACTGAGTTTATTTGACGTGGAAAGAGAACCAATACTATATGTCTATACATAATTAAAATATTTATATAATTCATGACTGTTTCTCTATCTGCATATATACGCTAATCTTTCAAAGGTGCTTCACAAATCTTTTCTGAGTTTTGACCGATTTGTTAAGTTCAGTAAAGTAAATTCCTTTTTCAGATTTTATATATTTTAAACAACTATGTTTTTAGTACGTAAAATAGAGGGTTTGACCTCGTTGAATAAATATAGGTAATTTCGATCTTTATTTTAAAGAGACCTTAAATACTACTTAAAGCTAATATATGGAACTTACAATACATAATACGTTTATACCATAACTATATCTCGTTCTGTGTTGATCTGTTATCTCTTAGCAAAGTTGAACTCTTAAGCTAGAAAATTCTGTTATTATGAAAATCAGGGGCGTTTTATGCAGAATCCGTATTGCATTCAGGTGCAAACCGAACAAACGACACTCCCAACTCCAAACAAAGCCTTTGTACAAAACTAACTATAATATAACTAAAACTGCTGTTTACGAACAACGAGAATGTAATTATGAAACTCCGATATTCAGTTTTATCTGGCGCGTAATTAAATACGATGTTTTTCTAGAAATATTCGCTCGTTATCTCTGTTTAATTAGAACTATGGTCACTTCCGGAAGGTGTTTCCGGCTTTGCTGAAGTATAAACAACATAGATTCGAGGAAATATGTTTATAAACACAGGAGGAAGTTGTTTGCAAACAAACATATTGTTTCTACGGGGCATCTGGCGTTGTGGCCCCAATCCCCAAAAAACCCCAAATTTTGTAGTTTGTGGTTGTTTTTGTGGGATAGTGGAAAAATTTGTTGGTAGGTAAGTGGATATTAAAACGAAAATTAAATTTGAAAATTCTGAATAAAGAGAAAGAGAGACATAGAAATAAATTTATTCACACATAAAACTAAAATTAACATATGGTCTTAAAAGGAAAAAGATATACAAGCAGTGTCGCCATCTATAATATTACCAAATCGAGTGTATAGTTTGTTTAATGCTTGTGACTTCTTATTCTTCAAAGTTTGATGGCTTTCAACACCTATGACTTGAGTGTGACCAATATGGTGGCAGGGACATTTGACAAACGATCATTGACATCTTGTTATCTGAAAATAACGTCGGTATAGGGATTTCTGGGGGTGAGACCTCATCTTGCACTTAACCACCTGGGTCTCATTGTGAAGGAATTGAGTCTTGTTTAAAGTCAAATTAGTACGATCGGTCAGTCCAGCTCAAGTTACTACCGTTAAATAAAACTTACTCTATTTCCAAAAAGAAACCCGTTTATATTGATTTAATCGTAGCGTATTCTGAATTCTCTTTGGACTATTTAAATAGTCTTTTGTACCGTACGAAAAGACGTCTATTTTGCATATTTTATCGGGCCATCCGACTTCGTCATATACTTAAAGAAAATCTTAGTAATATTATTCCTGAATATTATGTCTTAATACTTAAATAAAACACTTTAACGGTTTAAAAACGTTAAAGTGTTTAGCAGCAGCGTGGTCACGGGAGCCCCGGTCCACACAAAGCATCCGAAACGTCGGGCCGAAGTTAAAAATCATTTCCAAATAAGTTTAACTAATATATCGCGTTTTAAACCGTTAAAGTATTTTATTTAAATGTGTACTACTCGCGTAAACTATAGACAGTATCTAATGTCTTAATACTGTTATATATAAATTCGTGTATCACAGTAGGTATCGTTCGCATCCTATTGTCTCTAGCGCGTTGTTGATTTTTGCCATTCTACAGCTATTCAAGGTACAATAATCAGATAAATTACCATTCCGAGCCATTAAAATCGCCGATAACATACAACAAACCGATTTAACTTTAACCGAGGAATTATTCACCTCACTTTACGGGCCAATGAAACAATAATTCCTATCGCGTCTGTACCAATACAGCGTGCACATAAACATGTCAAAATGTGAACGCTCATGAACAGTTCAATCATAAAATATAATTTTATGAATACCTACGGCGCGTTGCGTGTACCCTGTCTAATGTAGGATGATAAGATTCACAGTTCACAATGACATGTTCCCTTTATTCATACATTAGCTGTGTCTGCTACTTCCGCATAGAACAGTTACTTTGGGCGTCCAAATTTGTTCATCCCCTTCATATTTATTAACTTAAGATGTTACCCATGACGTCGGTTGCGTCCCTTCCCGTCGTTCTTGCGAGTTATTCTTAAGATACACATATATAAAGAGGAATCATTCTTTCCTACATACTTTTTGGGTATATTTAACCGTTTTTGCAACGTACGCCTCGGTAACTCATAATGATGAACAATTTTCCCAATTTTTTTCGCTGTATCTTCGCTCGTATTAGTCACAAAACGATGTTTTATAGCCTATAGCCACCCTCTAAATAAATGCTTTAACTAACACAAAAATATTTTTTTCAATTTGAACCCGTAGTTCCTGAGATTAGCGCATTCAAACAAACAAACTTTTCAGCTTTATATATAGTAAGAAGTATAGAACTAACAATATGTGACTTTGTTTACGGGTACGCTCTTGTGTCTTATAAATAAACAATCATATGTACATATATCCTTTTTCTCATTTTCACTTACGTGTAGCACCACTGTCCCACTCTATGGTCTTACTGCAAATCAGTTTCAACTCAAGATCTAATATAATATCTTATTTTTCATTTTGCAATAAGTCATTTGTTAATAACATTTTTTATTTTCTCTTTTTACATTAAATGTCAATCATATGTTATGTGTAGATTTATTAAGAAGTTTTATACGTTATTATTGTGGTAAATATCTTTTTCAGTATTTAAATACTAAATCGATAGTAAAAAAAATGTTAAACATATGTTTTTATATTTTGTATTGAAAGTAGAAATAACATTCTCGTATATGCACTATCAACGAATCATATTTTATTCATAGGATTCAATATCCTATGAACAAAATATCCTGTATTTTTTAATCAAAAATGGATATTCTTCGTTCCAGGAGGAGTTACGGGATAATCTAACGATAAGTGTAATGAGTTTCGTGCCGACGTTGGACGACGATGGAAAACCGATCACATGCAGAGCTGAAAATCCTAACGTGACCACACTATTTCTTGAAACAACGTGGACTATAAACGTCGTGTGTAAGTAACGCGGGTTATAGTGTTTCACAATGCTTAATTATTCTCTACCTTCTCGTATCGTGAGAAAATTACCCCAAAACGGCTGAACTAAATTTTATGAAATTCTATGTCCAATGTTTCATACACTTTAATTTTATAGATGATCAATATTTTATGTTATTATGCAGTGATACACACATACAAGAATACAATTCCTCTGTCTTTTTTCTAGTAGTAATTTTAAGCGAAATTACGGTCACCGTTTTCTATCTGTAAGACGAATAATGAAGGCATTGTAAAAAAGGCAGAAAAAATTACCGAACACCGTGGACGGTGGTTCGTGACCCGGACTGAATTTCGATATTCCTACCACCCATTTATTACCCAGATTTCCAAAGTCTGCTTATGTTTCAGAAAAAATATTAATCGATAAAAAAAATTATTAATTGAGAAAAATATTAATGAAATGATAGAAAAATCTTGGACCCAGTGGGGATCAAACCAAGGACCCGTTTTCTACTTATAGATAATGTCAAAATACCTTTTTCTATCAAATTAAATCACCTTTTTTTCAGATCCTCCTGTCGTAAAACTAAGATTAGGCAGTTCTTTAGCAGCCGGAGACATCAAAGAAGGTGATGATGTGTACTTCGAATGTCATGTCCGAGCTAACCCCATAGTGAGGAAGTTGTCTTGGCTTCATGATGTAAGTCATTTTCAATATAGATTTATTACAAATCCTACAGTCTACCACATCTATTAATTTCAGAAATCTGAAATCTATGACAGAACTAGGTAAATATAAAATTGATTCTAATATATCTGATATCTGACATGTTGTCTGTATGTTTAAAAAATTTGCTTCGAGTTAGTTGATTCGACATTATATTATTACTTGTCAAGATTTATTATAAGTAATATAATAAATATAAGCACAATAAAATCACAACATATGACTGAAGAATCACTATTATTTCTTTGGATATATAAGACTTTTATTGGTGTATTTGTAGATCACTTAGAACTTGGTATGATTTCTTTATTTATAAAGCAATTTCGCCCCGAGATGTAACTTGTAATTAAGTTAAATTGTTTCAACAGTCCTAATAAAGAAAAACAAAACACAATGTTTGTTAATTACAAGATAGGGACTTTTGTTTGGTCTTGCCTAATGATATTGTGTGGGGATAATTATATTGCTCAATTAATTGTCACGATACCTAGCTCATTCAAATATAGGTAGAGCAAAATGTGATACCACCAAATTTTTATTAAATTATTATAGAACCTTTTCTATTGACATAACAGAAGGTTTTTTTTTAGATGGTATAACATAATTGAGAAATCCAGTAAATAGCGACGCCAACACGGTAGGTCAATTAATTAAGTAACCGCACTGTACGTTGTTGGTCGTGGGTTTGAATCACCCGCGTCAAAGAATCTAACTTAAATTTCATCTCAAAGATATTTTTAATTTCTATACTAAGGTATAATTAATTTAAATATTTTATTATTCATTCTTATTTCTTTGATAATTAAGCCTTACTTGTTTCTGAATCAAACTATTAATGAAGTGCAATAGAAAATTAAATATGAATCCTAATATATTAAGTACAAATTCATGCATATTTTCGTGCATATTTTTTATATTCATCTACTGAAACATTCACAATATAAAGTACGAATTTAAAACATCGATACGTATTAACTTTTACAGATATTTAAATAATAAGACTAGAATTTATCTTGCATTAACATAAAAATATGAGAAAAAAATATCCACCATTTGTAACGTCAGATAAGCGTACAAGCGTTTAGATTTTGATCTTGACGCCAGCAAATTAGAGGTTTTTTATATGTCAGGACTAAAAATAACATTTTTGATCATTATCATCAACGATCATCATATCCTAGTTTAAATTTTATAAACTACGTCATAATATATCAGTATTGTGATACCTTTTTCTCAGCGCTGAATTTATTCGGTTTGAATCCCGGATAAACATAATATAAATAAGATATTTTTTCCACGTACATTACGATTGGGTAAATTAACTACTTTAAACTGACCTCTGTAACTAAATGGTTAAATTTGTTGCCTAGCATTGCGATTAAGCGCGAGAGGTCCTGGGTTCAAATCTCGGGGAAACAGTAAATTGTTTCGATCGGGCAGGGCATGGAGGTCTAATCAACCACTTGCCTGTAAATAAAAAACCGATCAGTGAAACAGACACAGAAATGTGGTCGCCCCATGCCCCACGAGGGGAAACGGGATTTTACTATGTTAAACTGACGCAATCATTAATGTTTCAAATATGTATGTGAAATAATTTGTTCACTGTGTCTCAGAACATTTTTAAATACACCAGTACAAGTCTTAGACACAAAGGAAGATATGTTTAAGACCGGATTTAAGGCATTTTCCACGTCCACCTGTGATCACGTCCTCCTTACCGGCCTTTGTGGGTACTATCCATAGTTTGTTGGACAAAAGCTTTACAATAACAAAGTGAGTAATCCGACATCGATGCGACAATACCTGGGGGGAAGGGGATAAAGTAATAGATGGCAGTGTACGGTTCGATAATCGCTTTGTAGCGAGCGTGTTTTAATCAGCAATGTTCAGCGGTTTTTTTATATTTTTTGTTTTACTTCACCCTTTCAGGAGCAATCAGCCGCGCGTTGTTACACGATTCGTGACGCGGATCACTGCACTTCCCTTTTCTGTATTTGTCTGTTTTTTCGTTGTTATCTGTTTTGTAAGGATCGCCGTTCGCTATCTGTTTATCTGTTTGCGATTACTTTTCAGTTGTTTTTGCTTTTGTTGTACCTTTTTAACTCCTCCTGTTGGATTTAGAGGAGGGCAATTTTCACACTTTTACTTTTGTAAAGAATATTAGGTGTTGTAACACGTTTAACGGTTCAAAATGCGAAATGTATTACATAAAATTATTTACAAAACATTCTAACTACGGCCTGGGATTTTGGTTGCTTTACAGCAGACACGGTTTTGCGTTTAAACCACTAAAAATGTATTATTTAAATCTGTACTACTCGCGTAAACTACAAACAATATTTGAGAATGAATAATTTATTCAGTACCACTTATGAAGTTGCAATTTTGAAAAACAATAGCTTGGCAGATCAAAACGGTCTGATCAGGGCGATCTCTTGGGTCTCAGCAGACGAACCCCGCTCTTCTCTTTAAACGTTAAACGGAGCGCCAGCAGCTGAGCGAGCTCTGTAGTAGTTCTTATCTATTTTATTTAATATTTTTTGCATCGCCGGCGCATCGTATTGAAAATTATTCTGAGTTTTTCGTATGACACTTAAGCATCCATTTGTCTGGCTCGCGTCGACACGCCTCATTGTTTTATATGTGATTGTTTTTGAAAAATGGCCCCGTCCCACGCGATTCGGCCGAATTAAAGCGCTGAATTTACTGCGCTCGTTTGCAAAACATCGCCTCTGGATTTTTACACACAACGAAATACCTATGTCCACGTTTGTTTGTTCAACGAAAAGGTCTGTTGGAATACGTTTGTTGACGCTTGTACGGCTGTTGGATTAACTGTAATCTTTATTTTTATATCTTTTGGGAATCGCTTGAATTGCTTCAGATATTGTAATCACAATTTAATGACGCCTATCATACAATTATTTGTCTTTATAGCCGTTGTAAAATTTAATATTTTTGACGTGTTATTGTAAATGATGATATAAATAATTAAAACGCAATTTAATATTGAAAGAGACACGGTCAGGACTTGAACAGGCATTCACCATTTTCCGTTCGATTCTTATTTCTGATAACCATTGTCAGAATATACGGAGGTATAAATAAATTTGGTACATGATTGAGAATCAAACTTTTGACTTCACGTAGGACCTTTGGGATGCACATACATTTTTTTATTATCCATTGATAATATTCTAATTAAAGATAGCAAAGAGAATGGTCAACTGAAAGGATAACTTAGGAGCTCCTGCAAGTTTTCCTCATAGACACAAAAGGCCCAAACTGAAAAATAACAATTAAGCCACTGAAGTTATTAGACCTTTTTTCGTCTCGCCGCCGAAAAAACTAAGTATAGTTTTTTAAAGTGCCAGTATATCGTTCCACATTTAAATATTTAGCAAACACATAACACTACTTACGAAAAAAGCCGGCATTCGTAAGTACACATGCGAACAGAATTCAAATGACGCGAATACGGGACGCATTTTACGCGGAAAAGAGTTCTAGCCATAAATCGTAATATACAGACGGACGCTCCTCCGTCGTATATTATACGCACATGACTATGGAGGAATTGTAGAATACTTGCTATATTTTATACCGACGCAGGTGCTATGTCTTTGTTTACATGATTAATTATTCTTTCGTATTTAAATCTTGCCTGTCTACTGCCAGCGTAGAAGTTGTCACATACGAGAACTAGGAAACGGTTACAAAAATACTAATATTGAAAGCACTGCCTAGGCGCAGAATTTTTGCATTTTATTAAATTTATATTTAATTCTTTAAAGCGTAAGTAAATAAATAAAGAATTAAATAACTCTTAATTTTGTTACTGGTGAAAAGAAAATATATTTTATTACATTTGTCCCACTCGCGTAAAATAAAGTCAAAATGCAATTTAATTTTAAATATCGTAATACTTTTTCAATATACTATTATAGATTTTCTATGGATAGCTCAGAATATTTAAGGTTCGAATCCAGTACTTTTCAGCTTAAATATATAAATTTTTATCAATCAAATGTTTATTTAAAATTGCGAAAAATATATGGATAGCATTCTGTAGTGATAAAATATGACAAGTTAATGAAAAATGTTTCCACGTTATGCTGAAGAAACGGGTGCCATGTAAGGAATGTGTGAGAAGTTGTTTATAAGTATATCGCAGAGCGTAAAGCGACACGTATTCATACGGAAGTTTCCCAGGACATTTTTCATAGGAAAAGCAAAGTTAAGTTATCGTTACCTAAAGTTAGTTAGTCTTACACAGTTACTGGTAACATTATAAAGTTATGTCGTGTAAATTAATTATTTTCAAACATCTCATGTCCTAAAGAACCTCTTATATAGATATAGGACAGCTACCTATAAGATAATGCCAGAGGAAATTAAAGTAGGCTATTTATAACTAACTGAGAAGACAAAACAAACAGTAATTATGGCGATACGATATTTGATACACTAATGAGAGTTGAACGCTTGGGTACAATTGATAATAACATTAATTAGTTAATTAAATGATGTAAAAATTACTGTAACGCGTTATATGCTGTAGTTATTGGTAAGCAGTAAATGTAAAATATATATTTATGTATTATATTAGCGTTTGAAAGGCCACAATAAAATGTATCTTTTTTTTGTGATTTGTCTATTTTTCAAACTGAAATTATTATTTAATTAAATAAAAAATGATACGGATATTGTAACGAATGTCACAAGATGGCGTCGTCTGCAAATTGTCTTTGTACTCGAGGCGATGGGTCTAGATTTCCCTAGACTAGTCTCTTCTTATGGCTGACTGAAGTTCGTTACATAGAAAATTTATATGTCCATATTTTTATCCTTATTACATCCATTTTGTGCATTTGATATAGGAATGAATATTGCCCAGTAATTTTCAACATACAGGTTTTTATTGTACAAGAACAATACTACTAAAACTGGTCATTTATTAAAAATATGAC